TAATTAGTTGGGAACTGCAGCAAACTTTTTTAGAAGTTAGAAATTGTGAAGTGTAGAATTTGGAGCTCAGACACATTATATGATGCAGAAAAACGAAGTCTGAGATTTCTTTTGAAATGAAAGATTTAAAACTCAAATAATAGAAAAATTTGAACTGTAAACCACATTTTAATGCAGAGCTTAGTGACATACATTGATCATGACAGGTACATCAGTATACAGCCTACTGAAACATCTTGGGCTGTCAAGTCAGAGATGATCCGAGTATCTGAAAGAACTGGCAGAAACAGCAGAGAAGACACTGAGCTGGATATGGGCAAAGAAGAATGATAAGAACTGGAAAGAAGATTCATAAGGATTAAAAATCCTTTAAATTCCAGTGGGACTTGTGACACAGTGGTAAAGCATGCATAATTTTTCTCTGACTTTTCACATTTTGGGACAATCTTTTTAATTTTCTCCAACTTTCTACTTGTCCTCTTTTTGAATTCCCTAACTTTTTTTTAAAATTTTTCCAGATTTGTGATCATAATAATTATGTAAAATAGACATAACTGACATTTTCAAACAAAAAATATCATACAAATATTTAAAATCTGGGACATTTTCAAACAGTACAATAACACTGATTAGACTGACAAATGGATAAAACAAAACAAAAAATTAGAAATTTTCATGACAACTTGAAAATGGACATACTGGTAAAAAGAGTGAAAGTAGGAATGCAAAGTTACTGTCCATAGAAAATAAGCAACATTCAATAAGTAGATCAAATACTTTATAAAAAATGCAAGTGATATACAATAGCAAATATGTTACATGTGCATAGTATGTAACTTATTATTAGTGTTCAATAAGAAACAGTAGCAAAATGATCAACATTTTCAGTGTTAAGTTCAGACTTACTGCTGAGTCACTGGAGGGCCAATACATTATGAACAAATACTTATCAACTTCAGAGAAACAAACAATTAATATGAAGCAGTATATAACTTCATGCAATGAAGATAGCAACTTTCAAAAATCACTGAACTAGAGAAAGATGTAATTACCATAGCAGGAATTAAAAGACTTAAGATACATGAAAAACAATAGGTAATAAAAGAACCACTTTAAAAGTATGCTAAAAATACACATATTTCTTTGTTGAATAATCTTATTAATTTACATGTAAAGAGTGAAAGGTTTAAAATAACATTAGTGATTTTGTGCAAACTTAATACATGAAACAATCTAACTGTTTTAATTAAAAGAATTAAGTTCTGATGTATTAATAATGTTGTATTCAGATACACTAATGTCTTACAAGAAGTTATAAGTATCTGCAAAAGAGCAGGTTGTAGGTTTGTTATGAAGAAAATAAATTAACATGCACAACAAATAGAAAACAAGCAAAGATAAATGAACAAATAAAATGTTTGCTTATAGTTTAGAGTATGCTGGGGTTTCGACTATTACTTGCTTGCTTCTACACTAATTATTGACCACAAGTTTCAGAAGGTTGCAATAATGTCTAAATAAGATAAAGACATCGGAAAAATCATGATGACACTACACAGTTAAGTCCTAGTGAAGTAATTGGATATTTTTGAGGGAATTTTACAATTGCTTTAGTATTTTAATGTTCAAGAGTTAAGAAAGAAGCTATAGAATGTCCTATACATGTAGAATTGGCACGAGTAAGGACGCCTATATTACGAAATTAGGTCAAGAACTAGACAAAGCCCAGTTAACGGGTTAGTTAGTATTGAGAATCACGAGTTAAGAGTTATAAAAAATGAGGCTACAGCGAGGACACTGAGAAAAATGCTAGTCATGAGTTTGACAGTGATAAGTTACTGATGCTGAGTTAGTAGCACTGTAGAAGCTACTAAAAAAGTTTATGATAACATCTCAAATCGGTGTTTAGATGTGAGATTTGTTACTCCAGACCAGTGTAGTAGTACAAGTGAAAAGGCAACCGGAGCACTCACCATCACAGTAACCAATTACTTGAGAGTTTTGGTTCTTGTATTGTATTAGCCCGGGAAGTTGCAGAGATTGACCAATAAAGTGTTAGAATTACTTGCGGGTAGTTAGAAATACTATTTGGAAGGTTGAAAGAATACAAAGAAAACATGGTTTAAAAACTTGTGTTTGAAGCTAAAATTCAGTTATCTTCATGAAGAGAGTTATCTCCAAGAAGAGAGTAATCCTCAGGAAGAGAGTTATCTCTTGGGAAAAATAAAAGTTTCAAGCCACAATGAATATGAAAATTTCCAACCTCCAGAAGTATACCAGTCCAACTCTGTTGTAAGTATAGAATTGCTACCTCTCTTGTTAAATTAATGTAGTTTACTAAAGGAAGTTAATGCTTATACTGGAGAAAAATATTCTATATGTATTGGTTAATAGTGTTAACTGAAAAGTGAAATGTAACTAACGTTTTAATAAATGTTTAACTATTGATGTTAACAGTGTAAACTATGTGGAAAGACTTAATAAACAAACTAAAAAGGTTTCCTATTTTTACATTGTAATTACTTTTAGAAATGAATTTCATTGAGTAATGCTCGAAAGAATAATAATAATAATATGCAAAAACAATGAAATGTCCCATAACTATTATAATTTTTCTGGCTTTCTAGCTACATGACAACAGTTCTTAGAAATCCTGCAAAGCCAGTTGATAAGGTTTCCATGGGAGCAAAACTGGTACTGAAATAGAAACCATAAAAGGGGTGGTAAGTAAATTACAAAAAGGGGGATGCCTAGAGAAAAAACTTCACAATTCTCAAACTAAGGGAAATTAATAATTTCTTTAAAATGCTGCATGGCAGAGGTATGCACTCTACTGAATGCTCCTCTAGTATTATAATTAATTTCACTTTTTTATCATGTATGCAAGTGATTGTTTGTAATAATGGTGCAAAAACATTACAGGATATTATGATTTTGTGTTATAATGATTAAATTGTTAACTTCAGGTATATGTTAATATGAAGTTTTGTTTAACATAGACTTCTAATACCAATTTTGTCTTTTGTTTAGTTATATTTACTAATGTCTATAGAAATAAATGGTCATAGTTATAAATAAATAAATATTCCACAAATAAGCTGATTTTTGCATGTTTAAATATTTCTATAATGATTGAAGGTGTATTGTCAGTAAAAGAAAGTAACACAGAAGGTATATTCTAATTAACTTTTTATCTATTTTTATGACTATATGAAAGAAAAAATAAATAAAATAGTGGTAGCAGTATTAAAATTATTTTTACTATTATTATTGTTGTTATTAATTCATATACTGATAGTTTGATATGGACCTTGTCATCATCCCAAATCTGTGCATGGATATCCATCTATTTTTTTCTGTTCTTGTGATCTAAGCTTTCATCAAAGAGCAAGACATATCAATTTTGGTCATTGATTTTCTTGGTGAGAATAGATTTCAGATATGGTGCTATTCTAAACTAACTCAAGTAGACATATTTCATGAAAATTATTTTGCAATTGTTGAGTCTGAGAACATTTCTGTGAAAAGTAGACTGACATCTGAACATGAGTTGAAGTAGTAGTGTAATGTAACATCCTTAATTGTCCACAGAATTTCATATTTTAAACAATCCAACCTTGATACAAATAGTATCAGTGATTGCTGCGAGGTACACATACTTGTGGCTGTGTCAGCTGGAGGTGAACGATTGAAGTTAGCTTAAATATCACTTTCAGTTTGAATAGCACTTTCATTAAAAAAAAATATTATATTCTCCTGATGAACATAGTCTGGACTTTCTGAAGTTCCAGTGTCCTGCAAGTGTAACTCTATTCATTTTTATTCCTTCATAATTGTGTATGAAATACATGCATGTCATAACTGTTTATTTCCTGATGTGTGTGTGTATATTATTTCCAATCTTCTGTTTGTAGAGGATGCTGAACCTTAGGAGAGAGATGTGAGAATCCTACAGTTTATCCCAAAATTTCGTATCACATAACTTTATCAAGTGATCTACACAACATCCAATAAAATCATTAGAAAACTTATAGATTCTCCAGGGATGCATTACATGCATAGTGAAGGCAAATATGTCTGTTCAGAGAGGCAGGAAAATGATGTTTGTATATGCCAAGAACTCTACAGCACAATGTATACATATAAAGAAACGTCATTCCATAGGTTAGGCAGCACAGTTTAATGGCTTAATGAAACAGTTAAAACACATTTTCAGGCAACATATTACCAACAAAATATAATAGTAAATAACTGTCTACTGAAGCAACACACATCACACAAGAATTTTTGTCAGGTATGTCCAATAAGAAGATGTTTGTTATGGGCACATGGCATATAATCTAGGTCAAGCAGACTATCAAATACTAAGAAAAATCATTTAGACTTTGTTTGTAGATGGCGCTGTTTGTTACGAAAGCACATTGTTTGAAAGGTATTGTTGTTAAAAGCAATTTGAATTCATTGTCCCCTGAGGGCATGTGGTGGTTTGACCAACATGTTACATGGTTTTCCAAAGGTGATGCTGAACAACAAAAACCACAGTTTTCTGCATTCATTGCTCCCTGAGGGCAAATGGTGGTTTGACCAACATGTTACATGGTTTTCCAAAGGTAATGCTGAACAATAAAAACTACAGTTTTCCTTTTTTCACTCACCTGAATTCTCACAGTAGTGATTACTTCAAAAGAATAATAAGCATGTTTCTTGTTCTCAGTTTTTTTATATGTTTGTCTGTATGTGTAATCATAAGATAAATATGTTTATAAACTATTTATAAAGGTTCCAATAAGCATGAGGCAGGCACATAATAGGAAAGCTAATTTACAGATAAAAATGTATTCATGTTCCTGGCATTCCAAGAAGTTAAGTTATTTTCCTATGACATGTATGGCCATAATGCACCTTTTCCCTCCTAATCAATGGAAGAGAATAGATAGATGGAAAAAACTTTTATATTGATAAGAGTTAAATTAAATGAAACTGAAAGAAAAAGTATTTACCTTTCCTCTTTAGTAATTCTATATCTATAAACAGCCATCTCAGAAAAAGCCCAGATGGTGTCTTTGACTGGATCTTTTGTAATTCCTACCATAGATCCATACATCTGCAGGGAAAATGTTACTACTTAAGAAAACCAATGCACTTCTGGTATGATTCAATATTTTATACACAAAACAATAACAATAAAGTAAGCACAAGGCTTGATTTGCTATCAAAATATTTTCATTGCTTACTTATAGATGAAGCCATTAACAGGTGTATTACCATAATTTATTTACTTATGATCAAATTAAAAATATAGGAAATGAAAAAAAAAATACATACAAAATGTTGGTCTTTATAAAGTTCTCATGTCTAGTAATAGTTTTTACTATAAAATATTCAAACTCATCTGTACACAATTCAATACACACTTTATTTCACTTATTTAGATAAAACTGCAATGTGTAAATGCATAAATATGCAAGTACTTGTGTTTGTTTATGGAAAAAAGTTTTAAGTCTGATATCTATTCTATTAAATTGTAATGCTAAGGTTTATATGTTATAGAAGTCCTATAAATACTTAATAATGATGAGCATAAAGCATTTTTCTTTAAGTAATGTTTTTAGTTAATGGATACATACTTTGTTTTATTTACTTATTGTTCTAAGGATGATACTTAGTTAAAATAATTAAATGAGTAGCTTTCTTGTGAGAGTGAAGATTAACTACTAAATTTTCTTTACTGTTTTTCCTTGGACTTTAGGTTTTTGGAAATTGCCAACTACCATACCTTTTCCTTTCTATAGCTATACCAAAGAAGGCCATGTTTGTAAAAACATCTCTAGACTAAAATGGCATTCAACAGATACTGTTGGTATTTCAGCCACATGGCAGTACAAATATGCAAAGTACCCCTCTGTGCAACTGCTGTATAGTGGTGAAAACTAAGCAGGTAAAACCTACTAGTAATTACAGAGTCTCTGGATTCCTACAAGATTTCAGGCACACATTACTTGAAATAGCTGGATAATTTTTGGCCTGATACTGTGTTTCAATGGTCTAGAATTGAATGGAATTATGCAACTTATGGAGTAGAAGCCTTGCAACTGGGACTAAAGTTTCAATCGATGCAAAACAGGTCAAATCAAAGGGGTGAGTTCCAAGGCTTGAAAGTAACAGTGCCATGGAAAATCAGCTACCTTAACAGAATGTCATTTTTGGATCATGAAGTTTCTCATCAATCAATTTGCAGATGGACTACTGAGAAAATCCATGTGACACAAAGAGTCTCAGGGGTGTTTTATCTCTGACAGAGACTGTTTCTGTTGTCATGTTAAACCGGATGTGGTAGCTGATGAAGAAGCCAACAAATGTTGCTTCAATAGCTGATTATGTTCATAAACAGTTTCAGAGGTCCTTTTCCACAGACACTGCCAGGTATTGGGATGCAGTCTCAATTATGCTTTATTAGACATCAAGACTTCATATACCCAGCTGTCATGGTTCACTACAAACACAGCTAAAAGATTCTCGAGAAGAAGCCTAGTATGAGGAAGGAAGCCTCTGCTATAAATTTGGCCTTACGGGTCATTGGATTCACGAATGCCAATATCCTGTTGTCCAATAAGAGTGATAAATGCAAGTTCCCTTCTAATTAATGCAACAGCTGATGCAAGAGATATTTCAAGAAACTATGGTTAAGTTTCTCCAGCTAGTTTAAACTAGAAGACTCTGAGAAAGGTCTGGCTATTAACAAGGGTTGGTGCATCAATTTGGTTGCACCCAGAAAAATGATGATTAAGTTGGTTAGCCAGTAATTTTAGCATGTCTTGATATTTGTCTATAATGATACAAGAACAGTTTTTAGTGCATACAAATGCAGCCACCTTAGTGCCTTGTTTATAAGGCACCACAAATTACGCCATCACTTCAGAAAGTCAACATCGACCTTCTTCTGGCAAAGAGTAACAAGCTAAATGTTAGCAGGAAGGAGCATTTCTGGTTCATCATCAGTGGTATCACAAATGCAATTATCTCTGATCTCTGTTGAGTATAGGATTCTTATGAACGGATCTCCTATACAAGTTATCAGCCTACATTGCTTACAAAACGGATGAGTTGTATCTTTGCAGTAAAATTATCCAATGCTGAGCTGTCAATGCTTGGAGATAGCAAAATGGAAAAATACATGTAAAAAAGGATTTCATAACACCTCCAAGTATATAGGTGGCATTCTGTGATGTTATAAGGAGTAAGTATGATGTATTGCTATCAATCTGTTACATAGGTAGAACCAATACACAAAACATTCCTTTCTCTCTAGAAATCAAGCTGCACTTCCTTGGACAGTCCATACTTCAAGTTTAAGCTTTGTGGCAGCGATTGTTTATAATTAGGAAAACACAGTTAAATTCTAGGCAGAATGGTTATCACCACAGTGGGTGACATTGAAGTGACTGTTTCAGCTGAAGTGTATCCAATAATAAGCTCCCTGCTGCCAGAGTGTCTCAGTTAAGTAACACTCTCACTACAGGCTCAGTCAATCTGGCAAAGTTTGGACTCCAAATTCACCTTGATAGTTTCCATACTATAACTTCTGATATGCTTTGTGTATTTTTTAAAAATGTTGCAAGCTTTGAGTAAACATTATAAGTCTTTTTAAGACAAAAAATCAGAATTTTCAATGAAGTATTTTCACTAAAAATTTCTCTGTGAAATTATGGAGTCAAATAGTTGACTGCTCCAAATAAAAAGTGTTTTCATGTTAAGATTAAAAATACTTTTCTTCATCTGAAAATTTTCAAATTTAATATGTGTAATCTCCAAAACCTTTTATATAAATTTCAAAGTTTTTCCAGTAAAACCTTATATTTTTAAGTGTTATGTTCTCTATCCTAATTCTGTATGATATCAGTCAGTTTGACTATCATAAAAAATACGAAATAAATGTAACTTACCTTTTTTCTTTCTAGGATGACCTCAAACTGTAATATGTAAGGACATTTGTTTATCCTAAATAGCTTTAAACTCATAACAGTATACATCTGTTTATACTTAAATTTTATTGTTTTATTGCCCTTTGAACCTTGTCTAACTAATAATCCCACCATAAAAATAGTAAATCACTTGGTGAATATGTAAGCTTACATTACCTTATCACATTACGTAATGCATGGGTTACTTGCAAGTTGCTGGTGAAGGTACCTCATGCAAAATTATTATTATATTTTTCTTTATTATACCAAATCTGACCTTATATAACCTAAAAAGTTCAATTTTTATACCTTAGTTACTTTATAATAATAAATAAAAAATACATATAAAAAACAAGAAATATGGTACTTTTTTTTTTGCTCTTGACTGTCAATGAAACTTAACCATACTTTTTATGTTACTGGTACTAATGCACTAAATAATGTTTTATTTAATTAAATAATGCACCCAAGAACACAGCATAACAACATGTAAAAAGTGAATGTCCTATAACTATCACAGTTTTTCTGGCTTTCTAATAATACAACAAGAGCTGTTAAAAATTCAGCTAAGCTCGTTGAGGTGTTTCCAGTGAGAATAGTTTGAACTGGAAGCAAAATAGATAGCTTTCTAAACAGAAAACAATGTAATATGATACATCATTTGATAGATTAAAACTTTGGCTTTCTATTGCGTATATATATATATATAATATTATTAAACATCAGAGAGAACTATTGGCAATTTATGAAAGAGAGGATGTGACAGGTGGGCATAGCAAGAGAGGTCTCATTTTCTAGTTTATGGCTCTGTAACCAAATAAGATTGAATGCTGTGAAAATGCCTTGTCTGAGTAATAATAATATTATAATAATTAATTCATGTTAAATTTTGTACTTCTTGGAAGTGTGGTAAATAAATAAGAGAAAAGACGATACCAAGAGAGCAAATGTCACAATTCTCATACTAGGAGACAATTTGAACAATATACATAGTAACATGAAGTTTACTCTTAAACAACAGCAGGATCATAAACTTCCATTTCTGAACACTTTAATGAATGAAAGCAGTGGACAATTCAAACATGAAATATGTCAAAAAATCATTTCCAAGCTTGTATTTTAATTTTGCAAGTTTTATTCTGAGCATTTTGAAAAAAAGTAAAAATATTACTTCATCATACTTATGAGATATCTAACATGTATGATAAAGATAAAGAACTTATGAATATCAAAGAATTCTTATGTAAAAATGTTTTTCTACTTATGTCATTGATAACATACTTCATAGTTATATAAATAAGTGAAGTGTTGTTTTACCCTATATAAATGATTTACCTAAATATCCATTGGTTATTAGTTTTCCTTATATAGGCAAATATTCTTTGATTATTACGAGTCAGCTGAAAAATATCATTTGTAGGGTATACCCACAGATATATCTACAGTATGTGTTTAAGCCTAATTGTTGGCTTAGATTTTTCTTTAAGTTCAAGGACCAAATTTCAATTTCACAATCATCTTTTGTAGTTGACAAATTTACTTGTATTCACTGTTAGCAAGGCTGTATTGGTTTCACCAAAAGAAAATTACTAACACATGTGAAAGAGATGCTAACCTAAGAGTATTAAGTCAAGTATACTTGAACATGCTCTCATTCATTCTAAGGTGTTTATCTACTGATTTAAATAAATATTATTTTCATTTTGTACAGCACAATGTCTCCAATCTGTCTATTTCTTTGCTATAACTCAGTTTAATCAAATTCAAACTTATTTCATAGTTTATACTACTCATTCACCTGTTATAAAGTGTACCTACTTATCACTCTTTCAGGGAGTCAGTTAACCCTATCACCACAAGTATACTTTACTGCACATAACACAAAAGTTTAGTTTTCATTCAAAATTTTATTAAACTACTTTTTATGTTATACCAATTAGTAGAGCAAAAAATATTATCTAATAATCCATATTTTAATAATATACAAGATTTCAGTTCTTAATTCCATAAGGCAATATTTAAAAAAATTCCGAATTTCTCCTAGTGTGACACGCATGACACATTTTCTCTAGGTATCTTCTCATCTATTTTATCCACCACCCCTCCAAAATATATGAAATTAAACATAAACTACTCACTATAAAATCGTCATTGCTCAGACAAACCATAATTTTTATAGCCTTCAATTTTGTTTGGTTACAGAGCTATCAAATAGAAAATCACACCCCTCCTGCCACACCTACCTCTCACATCTTCTCTTTCAGGATTTGTTAATAGTTTTCTCTCATGTTTAATTATATATAACCAATAGAAAGTCAAGGTTTTTATCTATCAAATGACGTATTGTATAATGTTGTGTTCTGAACAGATAAGTATCAGTTTCACTCAGAGTACAAGCTTTGTTCCCATGGGAAATTTAACGACTAGTTTGGATGAATTTGTTATGGCTCTTGTCGCAGAGTTAGAAAGCCTGAAAAATTTTTAGAGTTAGGAGAAATTGTCTATTTTTTGCATGTTATTAGTCTATATTCTTTGGTCCATTATTTAATTAAATA